ATTAAGTACCAATGGGAAACACATACTCGAAATATATGTAAACGAAGCAACCCATCCACGAATTGGAATGTCTGTGAATTCAAGATAAAGTGTGGCAATCGTATGAGAAACTCCACCGACTTCATGTGAGGATGCCATCTATGCACCCATTACTTAAGCGAAATCCCGCTGCAAAAGATCACCACTATCAAGCTTAACAGACCACCAAGTTGCGCCTCTGACGAACTGAGAAGTCCCACTTGTGGATTTGAGTCTAGCGACCGCGAAAGTATCTGAACTTGTACTGGATAGGAGAATGGTTAATTTGTGTTAAAGCAGTACCTTTCACCAAACCAGGGTCACAGTTCTTTGGTGCATGTGCAGAAAGTACAGATTATTTCAGCTTCTTCCGATTCCTATGGAAACTGACGAAGATACAGCTCAGTGGCGCTTTTTGTCAGCGTCTAGTCATGTTAGGACGTCTCAGCTCGAAAACGGAGGCCTATACGTATGCAGGTGTAACCCGCTGCAGCAGATTCAAAATCACCTGGAGTTCGTAGCCTCTAGATAAGAAAGTGCGTGAACCCGATTACTTTACATGGCTCTTGCATTCGTATTTCGGAAATGCAGGAGATAGCTATCAATAAGGTGCCAAGGGTGCGCACCAGAGAATAATTGTTCAGCTGTAGCACCTTTTCGGTGTCTAACTGCCATGTCACCCAAAGGAAGTTCGAGGGCTGGCATACTGCCAGGTTGCCCAAGCTTAGGCAGGGGAAGTTGGGTCCGAACCACAGACCTTCCGGCCAGTAAATTCGCGCACTAACAACTGATCTATCTCGCTTCATGAGTTACGCTGGTTAGGACAGGTACTCCGTATGTTAGAATACCAACAGTTAATGACTGGCAGAAATTGCCCAATCGCACAGTCAGTGGCGTTTGTGCATCAAAGCCATCGACTCCAATACGTAGCTACCCAGTTTTCGAACTAACCAATGCCTGGTTGTATGTCCCACATTCTTCTGTTTCCCGGTAATCGAAACTGTAGCAGCTGAAACCAATGAGCCTATGCTACACGGTCTATAGCTGACAAATTGATCGCTTGAGTAGACCGTCTGCCTCTCAGAGCCTTTTTTCACCCAGTCCTGTTCTAAGTGGAAGCGACCGAGAGGTGGACAGTGTATGCCCTGGCTACGAATTATGAAAACACTAACCAGTCGAACTAGCAATTGCCGCCTCCTTGGATCGGGACCCCGGGGCTTATCTCGCTAATGGCTGTTGACACTGGCAGAAATGGCCCAATTGCACAGTCACTGGCGCTCGTGCCTCAAAGCTATTGCTTTCTCTGTTTAGCTGCCAGAACTGACTGAACATGCCATCGCCTCCAAGGCTCTCCTGCATGTACCACACTCGCGTTTTCCGGTGATCAAAACTGTATCAGGTGGAACCAATGTGCCTATGTCACACGGTTTATAGTTGATGAATTTAACTCTTAATTATTATAAACGAAACGTTTGGGTGTTGTCTTCCAGGATGGGCACCGCGTGATCCCAATTGCGCCTGGTTGGAGAGGCTGGAAGATATGGCTGCAAATCAATGTCAGTGGCGTTGTTGTTGTCAGCTTGTATGTAGATTGCCTGAGTGAGTGGAGGTGTGAGCATTTCGGAATGATTGTAGTAAGATGTACTAAGTCCTTTGTCTATCCAGCTTTATTCTTTTCCTAACAATATGTTTTGAAATAAGTCATGGTTGTACGGCAGTAATGCATCAGTGTTGATTACTGATGTCATGCTGTCCATTACGATGATGGTGTGATGTTCGTACATTTCGTGGTTGTATGTGCGCCGAATTGCTTCCAAGATACCCAAACTTATACAGGAGGGCTATTGGAGCCCTCAGCGAAGGCATCTGGCTTAAAAGCCTGATCTCAATTCAACGTTGGTTTGTGGGAGACTACTGTCAACCTTTCAGGAACATGTCACCACATGTCTCAACCCCAAACCTGACACCAGTGAGCTATGTTAGTCTGACATTTATCTGTCGACCAACTTGTCAGAGGAGCTCTGTGTCATCAACACTCCCCATTATTCTTCAGTTGGCCACTGAAAAAGAAAAGATAAAGCGTTCAGCTGTAGCACCCTTCCGGTGCCTAGCTGCCATGCCACCCGAAGGGTGGCACGAGGGCTGGGATACTGCCAGGTTGCCCAAGCCTAGACAGGGGAAGTCGAGTGGCGGAGGTCGGATTCGAACCGCGGACCTTCAGGTTAGTAATCCGCGCTCTAACCACTTCGGCCATCTCGCCACTGAGGTACACAAACCGCCATACCATAGTATGGTTCAATCTCTTCATGTGTTTTCCAAGTAACGGGGCGTTCTTCGGAAGTAATATGAAGCAGGTCGGTCGTTCGCTGTTGAGGCCTCAAAGTAGTAGGTAGAAATATACGCCTAACCAAGGTCTGGCTTGATGATGTTTTCAAATCGCTCGTCACATAACATATGGTCACCCTTACTCCAGTAGTGCTGACACCTTCGTTAGAAGTCTATGGAAGTTAACATCGTGCTTGACAAAAAGGTTAACCTCAGGGACAGTGGCGTTATCTGTGTAATCAAATGTACCTGCGTGTTTTTCTCTGTTAATATAACCGACATTTGGCTGGAAGCAAGCGACTCCACTCGTCACACCTAACGGGATTGGACGTCGGAGGTGTAGGTTTCCGTACGCCTAGAAGGCTGTAAATGGTCATCCATCTGATAAGCTTCTGATGTCAAGCTCTGCGTATGCATCTGAATACGTGAAGCGGCTATATTCTAACTTTTGTCCAAAATGACCATCTTTCTGTTTTCGTCTTCACCGAGACCTGAGATCACGACGGCTCGATAATACTGCTTGGTGACTTATGGCTCCGCGACGAAAAATTTGTCGGACGGGGATGCTGTTTCTATTAGGTGGCGAGTTGAAGGTCTTAAAAGAGTGCTGATGTTGGCGGCGTTACGGGAAAAATGGTGGGTGTGGTTTCATCGAAGGGTGTCTACGGGTGCTAGTACTGATTAGGAAACCCGTAGCCGAGAAACGTGCCGGTAAAAATGTGGAAGACTGGATGATTTAAGTTTGTTATATGTAGGTGTTTCGAACGTTGGGACACAATAGTGTTCCAGAGTTTTATATGTTGGCTAATAAGATCATACTTTTGGAGCTATGTGCCGTCACCGATTCTTTCTAATGACTAATGGACAAGCGTAGTTTTCAGGTACCTGCTAGTGTCAAGTCATGTGCAATGGAAGACTCCATGCTAAAGTTGGTGATTGTTTTTGGAATCAGCAACAGCAGACAAGATGGACTTGTTTTGAAGACTGTTGGTTTACGTCGGGCTCCTGGTTGTGTACTTTTTCCAAGAAGTTTGTTTTTGTAACCAGACGTATGTCTCTTAAAAATCCAGAGTGTCTATAGGAAGAACATCTACCGGTGGCTACTGCTGTATTGCAATCCCGTCGTCATGCAGTCTAAATTTCACGTTATAGTTGAATTGTATGCACCACTGCATCACATCGGACATCGATTCATTAAGGCGAAGTTTTACGTTAAATTTCACAAGCGATAGTTTCAGACGCTGCTGATATGAGTTTCAAGAGAGTGTTGAACTTGCATTTGCGATCGAGAACCGGCGGTAACCGCATCCTTCATCAGCTGATAAATATCTTTCGGGATTATGTCTGCTACCTGGATCGATCCTCGTTCTTGTGGATCAGAATGCAAACAGGCAATACTCCACCATACTTTCCACGTCGACGGAATAATTTTTGCTCCCTACGATGGCAATTTTACCGTCGAGGCGAGGGAAGTGTCCTTGCATTCAATTCGTTACTTTTAGAGTTCATAATCGCATTCAGGATCTCTCCGCAATATATTAATTAACTAATTAATTAATATATTAATTAATCAATAATATATTAAGGCAGAACGGTTTAAAGGCAAGACTTTTTCCGGTGAAAGCGCATTGGGCTGGTGAAAACGAGCTATTCAACTCGAGTTTAAGACATTATGCATAGTATTTTCCCTCTTGTCTATTACTGACTGGTCGATCGCTCGATCAATTAGTTGCTTTAGTGCTTGTATGGTTGACTGACTGGTCGATCAAATGATTGACTGATTGATGATTGCTGGCATGATTGATCAATCAGTTTCGCAACCCACTTATTCCGTTTGAAAGTTTAATATCCTTTCTGGTCCCCATTCATGCAGTCCCAGTGAGTCAGTAAAGGCTAGTTTACTGGTGGGTGCTTTTATGCGTGTAACTGGAGGTTCGACGAGTTAAAGAATGGTGTACCGGTTCCAGCTGTTTTTTGTTTAAGAGGATAGACAACCTGGAAAGAAGCCTACGTCATATAAATGTAGTAATCTACTCGGCGGATGAAACTTAGTGCATATTTTGATGGTTTCATCGATCTCTAAATGGCGCATTCGGTACTTTCTGTGACCTAACGCCGGAGGATGGACTCCAAATAAAAACTACGATTGAGTAACTGAAGATCCGAGAGTGATAGATGGAACTGGTCGACATATAGTGGATCAGAAGTGATCTTCTAGTCAATGTAATTGAACTTCTGGCCGACGCAGGAAGCTCAACGGACAGTAGTGTGACGAACGACGAGTTCCTGTACTGGTGCGGAAAATTGGAAGTGTGGGTCATGGGTATTTAGGTAAATCACAGTCCGGTAACGTCTTGCCTTTCGCTAGTACAATAGCGTGGGAGCACAAAACAAGCAATGCCTGATTGGATGAGCTTCTGTAAAGCAAGATCTAAGGCTGCTCTAGGTGCTTTTCAGTTGAACTCTTCCATTCTTATGCTATCTTTTGGTTGACAGCTTCGCAGTCTGTTTTCGGTTATATCGCGGGTGATATTCATTTATATCATTTGATTATCAGTTAATTTGGTCATCTTCTGATCCAGACTCAATACAATGTTTTCAGCTGCCTAGCATCGTTGCGCTTAAAGCGTAGTTGAACTTGTGCGAGCGCGTGCAAGATGTCCCAAATCCCTGGAATAGAGAACTTTTCCAATTTCGATGGAACTATTAGCCATTTATATGTTGGCGGTAGTCCATTGTACGATTCCAGCGGGAGCTCGGAGACGCGAGTGATCATTTCCATCGACCCTCGATCCAAACTGGAAACATGTTTGCGAGCCATTAACTCCGTAAGTTTGATGTTTTTCGTCAGTATTTTTATGCATACAGGAGTTTCACGATGTCTTCTTTCATTATGCTTATTCCCTCTATCTTTTTCAAGATTTTTGTAATCACATTATCTTAATTTTGGTTCTTGGTCAACCCGGTTGATGCACGTTGCCCATGGAAATGGTTCCAGAGTTTATATAAATATAAATACGCGTTTACTATAGAGGAGAATGTTGGTAGCTAAGGCAGCTGAACTGCAGTTCAGCGAACAAACCAACCACCATAAATACTCGTTTATTTACGATCCATCTCGTTGTTATGAGAAATATTTGCTATGCATGAGTTGTTGGTCTATTCGCCGAGTTTGGCAGCTTGATCGCAAACGTTTAATCATCTTTCGAGGATACAGCACTGCGCGATTCGTTCGACTGGTCCTCGGAAACCTCTTGTCAGCGAAACAATCAGGGATAAAAATGGTTCTCTGATATGCAACAAAGCAGAGCGTTTAGATCGCTGGGCACAGTACTTCGAGCAGCAGTTCAGCTGTCCATCTGCCACCTCCACTCCAGAAACCTTGCCTTCAACAGAAAGGTGGACCGTATTTATAGAGCCGCCTTCAGTCTCAGAAGTGTCCGAATGCATTTCTCTACTCAAGCGTCATCGTGCTGCTGATCCTGACGACCTACCACCTGCTCTTTTCGAGGATGGCGGTGGTTTTCTCAGCCAGTGCCTGTTTAGCCTATTTGGTTCTGTAGTTTCACGTTTATACTCATCCAAGATCTTTGAAAATAGACTCTAACATACCCTCATTTCTGACGCGGTGGAACCGATCAACATGTGGGACTTGGCATTCCATACATCCACCTGAAGCGTCTTATGGAGAAGGTACTCGAAAACCTCCTCATACTCCCCCGAATTCATCCAGTTGGGATTCATGGTGAAAGTGACCTTTGTAAAGATGGGGTGTGATAAGAGGACAGTGTTGAAAAGATGCTCCAAAGGGTGTTGGGATATCTTAAACAACTGAAACAGTTCAAAATACACCGGTTCTCCCGCATATTTCATAAAAAAAGCCTCAACAACAGATGTCTCCGCAGCGTTTCACTTGGTTGTGGTCGGAACGCAACCCAATTATTCGTTCCAGGTTACAGAACGCAGCAGCCCACTTAGGAAGACACTGCAGTCTCAGAAAATATAGGTCCACAGACGCGCTTCATACTTTCAGTGTGCATGAAAATTGACAGATATCTCATTCGGACTTGAAACAGAGTTTCACCGGCAGACGTGACACACTACTCTTAAGGCAGCTGCGAACTCTTCGACAGCCCACTATCGGTTTGGTCCTTCTTGGGGCTCATCGAATAGGCAGTCTCTGAGTTCTTGCCGAACCATGTTCTGCTTGAACCCAAATTTCATGAAGAAGAACATCATAACAGAGCGATTTATGTAAGTCTCTCGTGAAAACACAATTGGTATGCAAATGAGTGCAGTTATCGTTATCGCTAAATTTTTTTATGCGGAGCGAATGTACTGAGGTTTTTGAATGGGGAAATTGACGCGACAGGCCCTCACTGTGCTGCAGGCAACTGAATCCGGGAAAACATTCAGAATCATCGACTACGATGGCTCGGTCATGTGCTACGCATGCCGAAATACCGTCTACCGAGACGAGTATTGTTCTCCGTGCCTTCTTCAGGATGGCGAAAACCGCGAGGTGGACAGCACACGACCTGGCAGAAAGCTGTGAAAGAGATCACGAAGGGTTTGGGTGTTGTTAGTATGGTGAGACTTCCAGGATGGGGTCCCCGTGACCCCATCTGTGCTTGGCTGGAGACGTTGCAAGAAATGGCGGCTAATCGATGTCAGTGGCGTTCTTGCTGTCAGTTTCTTTCCAGATTGTCTGGTTGAGCGTTTGGAGGTGTAGGCACCTCAGTATGCTTGACATAGGCCAGCACTAGGTCTCCTCCCTCACCCACTCTTTTTCCCTTCTTTTCAACCTAGGGCTTTTAATATATATATAGACAAACCTTATGGTTGTACGGCAGTGAAGCATCAGTGGCAACACTGATGTTGCTGTCTTTGATGATGATGATGATGCACTGCGCGATCCGCGAATAGATCAACAACTACGTGACCTACTTCCAATAAACGCACCCAGGCTACGGACATTCCGGTTCGTTGGCAGGGGTTACGTATGGTCTTTACATGTTTAATATTCCAGAAAAAGTTAACCCCAATGGACGCTTTTTTTTCTTTGTGTGGGACAGTGAGGCATCGGTATTGAACACTGATGTCATGCTGTCGACGATGATGATGATGATGCGGGATAATCCTGTAAGACTCATGCCAAGATCGAGCAATTAGAAGGAATGGCTTCTATAGTTCGGCTTCTTTCTCTCTTTGGTTATCGAGAAAATGGATGATCCAGCAAACTGAACACCTTGTTTCGAAACATCGAAACAGACTGTTGGTCATTAGTGTTCAAAACAGTTCAAATTGAGTCATTGCGGACTCTTTTAATTGAACGTCACTTAGTCCTCAATTGCCGTATATCTCGAGTTCCACAGGCAGACCAATCACCTTGCCGCACTGGCATCCGTATCTTTAGTCTAGTTGTTCATGGAACAATCAAACCAGCTGATGCGCTTATACAGCCAATACAACCAAATGTCCACCTGACGGATCACCAACACAGTATTAATGAACTGTTAGATAAGCCTCCAAAGTATGTTTTAAGTATGAAGAGATTAATTCAGTTCGCAGCTTTTCATGTTCTTGGTGGTTTTTGAAACGAAAAGTTCAAGTAGTGGCGAGCATACCACCCGTCTAGTGAGGGGATAGAACGGAACCACCAACTACCCACTAACCAGAGCCATAGACGCTTACCAGCTTAGCCATTGAAAACTGATTTATGGTTATTCCTTTACACTGCCTTCCCAATACTTCCTTTCCAATACTTTTTCACTGTGGCTTAAGAGCCCAAGACCCTCAGTACCGTCAGCAGAACCCTAACTCAGGCCCTGTGCTGCCGAATTTCCCGTTGCAAGGTTAACCAAATTCCCTTTTGCTTACGCCCTATCGCTTCTACAAAATTAAAGGTAAGGAATAAAATGCCTGAATTTTAATATTCCTGGATTTCCAAAGCGCGTTAGACTTGGTCGACACGCTTGCCCATTAAAGAATACCCCGGAAGTTTGTGAACATACGTTCTTTATAGTCTCACATTCGGGCGTGTGAGAGCTTACGGAGAGCTCTTCAGAAGCTTCCGTACACAAAGCGGTTTTCACCTGGGGTGCCCGCTGTCCATTCCAATTTAAATTCGTGATCGATGAGATAACGAGACGAATGCTGAAGGATCTTCAAAAAACCTCTGATGAAAACTTCTTTGATCTGGAATATGCAGACGGTATCGTTCTCCTCTTTGAGGTGGAAAAGAAGGCTCAGGTATTTTTGTATGAATTGATCAAAGGCATTCAGTCCTATGGTATGCACTTTCCACCTACAAAGTGCTCATGGGCATGCAGTCACTGAACACACCACTTACAATCCAAAGGGTGGCACTCGAGTTGTGGAGCGTTTTACGTACCTTTGGAAGTTGTATTAGTTCTGACTTTTAGCTTGACAGATGGGGCCAGTGCACGAATCTGCAAGGCTCGGATCGCGTTTGCTAATTTGGGGCACCTATGGTATCAAGGCAGTATATACCTGCATCTCAAGAAGCGTGTATATCAGACTACAGTGCGGGCTGTTTTGTCTGGCTGTGAGACTTGGCGTGTTCGACCAGTGAATTTGTGACTTCTTCAGGTGTCTGAAAATCGTTGTCTTGGGAGCAGTTAGCGTGGTCTGATGTCGGAGAATCCACAACGAGGCAGTTAGAAAGCGAGTTTTCGGTTGTGCAGCGGGAACTTCCATTAAAGAATGAGTTCAACACCAGAAGCTGCGTTTGTTAGGCCGTGCATTGCGTATGCCGAACCATCATTTGCTGAAGAGAGTACTGTTTTCCGTACCAAATTCAGAGTGGTGGAAGCAGACGTGGCCAACGCTTAACCTGGCAGAGGCGTATGAAAGAGATTACGAAATGTTTGGGTGTTGTCGGCGCTACTCGCCTTCCATTAAATTTGTGGTAGAGCTATTAGTATACTTTTCCATATTGACCTGACACCAGTTGGGATAACTGTAGTCGACATCTAGTCATCCTCAAAATTTCTCTCGAGATTCTATAATCTTCCTGCGAGATACTCATGAAATCTTGTCCATCATATGAGAGGTGATTATGATATGAACGAGGTCTTCAGCTAACACTTCTCAGTGGCATTACTTGTTTGCAGAATTTAAAAGTGATCTCGCCTAATAGTTGAACTTTTGGACTTGTCTCCGTTTTTCTGTTTTCGACTGTCTGGATCTTTTGCCTTCCCCTTATTTCATCCTTTTGTTGTTGTTGCATCCGCTTCGTGAACTCTTTCAGGAATTGCTTGTTTTGGGCTATCCCGCAGTGGTGTCTTACGAGAACGAACAGCCAATGATCATCGTCGATCAATTAGCTCATGGTATGGCCCGATTGCTGAATTCCTACTTAAAAAACCTGTCACAGCAGAACGAACTCGCAACCAAGTAAGACAATGACCTTGTGCTAGATCATGTGAGGTTCGTTTGTGTAAAGAAACCTCTCCAGCTGTGTTGCAGTACTGTACATGCGCCCGATGACTTTCCTTTGTGTATTTCTTGACAGGTTTCTTGCCTACCTGTTGCACATCGATTCACCAAAGCTCAACGAGGAATCACCTGCAAGGCAGGCCACTTCGATAACCTAGTTTCATTCGCTTTTTGCTGCGTGCGCCAGTCTCATTATGTTATAACTTTTTCGCCTAATTAGCTTAGCTCGTTGTCTAAAACGCAAACTTATTTGTTGAGATGTCTGCCGCATTCTACACAGTACTCATTAGAAGACTTAAATCTACTGTCTATCAGACTGCGGTCCGCTGAGGCCGACCTCACTCAGGTCCAAAAGATGTATCGTCGTTGTCAGGAAGATTTGAACGAATCCCACAAAGCCATCGCACTTGCCCGTGAGCGTGATCGTCGAGCAGAGGAGGAGAAGCGCGCTATCCAGTTACGATTGAGGGCAACAACAGATGAGGTAATTTTGTGTATATCTAATATCCGTAAACACGTGTTGCCTGTCGCTCCTGACTCATACTTATATGTACTGTCTTCTTAGGTTCGTAAACTTCAACTGAACTTTCAACGCTATGAAACCCAGTCGGCTCATGAACGCCGTAAACTGGAAAATGAGCTGGTTGCAATGCGTGAACGTTTGTTAACCACCATAGTTCCTCGTCCAGGGAATGTGGCCAACAATATATCCCATCGGTCATCCAAAGGACGGTCACAACGCACTTCTGTCCAGGTTTCCTCCGTGGTTACATTGGACTCACTTTCGGATACCAGTGAAACCACAGTCGGTTTAGCCCCAGCTTTTAACAGCCGTCCATCAACCAGGGTGGTGGCAAAGCCCACTCGAACGCTTTCTTCTATAGGGGCACAAAATCCAGGGCAGAAGTCAGAGAGGTGTCCACAAGATACAATTGTGACAGCTGCCACCCAGAAACCATCTCAAGTAAGTAATACCCTCACGTTATCTAAATTGGCATGTCCATTTGATCACTTGGCAGGTAAGCTTCTGAGTCTACTAGTGACCAACAAGGCTGATCTTACTAAGTAATGGGCGTCTGAATGTTAATTAAGTTCGTTTGGTCATGGTCCGGGATAGTGGGTATACTACTGATGATTCGCTTGTTTTGCACCACTGACGTGTGGTGATTTTAAGCTTCAAGCACGCTTTGCGCTGGTAGCCATGCCTTTGTCCTGTCTGTCGAGTTTTTGAAACCCAACTGAAGACAATTCGAATCTGGTGATTTTCTAGGTCACCTAGTTGGAACTCCAGCTTGCCACAAATAATTTATTTTAGGGTCCTAGTTTCGACTACTCCAATGGAGCTAGTTTTCCAGCAAACTTCACTTGATTCCCATAGCGCCTGCCTTCCGGGAAATTCATTGCTCCCGACTCCGTCAATCCACTCGAAGGACTTCACGTAAACACTACAAGTACCGAGCATATCTGTAGTGTGTTTGTGTTTCGCTGACTTCCGGTACCGATCTATCCACAGATGGTAATTACCGTATTTATACCCTACTTAAAGCTGCTACATTTATGTGTGTGGTGCGATGACTCTGAATCGCAGAAATCTCAATCATGGAGAAACAAATGAGCAACATGGAGCCCGTATGTCATTATAAGGCCGACTGGAGTGCAAAGTGTTTCCCCTAATTGACCATTGTTTTCATATTTATGGGAGCAGTGGTGCTGCCTTCCTCGAGTAAATAAGGCCTGCCCTCCAAACCGCATGCTTTGATCTTCCGACGATTATTCGTGACCGTCGGCGAGATATTTCCAAAAGCCAAGGACCTAGTGTAACCCAAAACGTACCTGCGTCAGCATTGTGTGTGAGACATCCATGCCCTGTCGTCTGCTTTTCTGGGTTAGGCCAACCCTCCGTTCCACAGCCAAATGGATCAGACCTTCGGGTCGTTAACTTCAAATGGATGCTCTCCCCAAACACTTACCACTCGTTTTCTTGCTGGTTAGACTAGGTTGTTGAGGGCTCAAAGTCGATCACTCCACACACACGCCACGTCATAACCCTATTGGGTAAGGAAAGTACACCATCTTGTGAACAGGGAAATGGTCAAAGTCGGATGATAGCAGGGGGCTATCCGTAGAACATCTTGTGATGCCAAGCTTATTGGAACGACTCTTCGCCCATAGAGAAGCAGGTAGTGTAAAAAAAAGTGATGCAGGTTAACAGATTTTTGTTACTATGCCACTTGAAAATTCAGCCACATCCCGAAAACAGAACTTTCAGGACTTCATGGCCATATGGTTCCCATACACAAAGGGACTGCCCTACGTACTATCTGTCTGCTATCAGGCACATACATGCTACAGTTAGCTTAGTGGGGTTGCACTGTTACAGACAGTTTCATCTTGGTCAGAAGTGCTCCTTTTGTCGCTCCCCACCACCCATTCCATTTTTGGAGTCAGACGCCCTTGTTATCGTCCTGGAAATAATTTTCTGGATCTGTAATGGCAAGGCAAGATGTCACTATGCTTTCCCCAGCGACCAATCTTTTTTTATTACGGGGTTTACGCAGGCCTGTAGAACTCCTTGACTGATTATCGCATAAGCTTGATAAGCCTTAATGAATTAAGGGATATGAGTTCCGTTGCATAACTGAGTATCTTTTCACGAGTTTTCTCCTTTTAATTCGAACTCTCCAGATTGCCCTGTACACACATTTGATCCAGAGCCTTCAGGAACGTGAACATACGCTACTGTATGAGAATCGAGAGCTGAGAGATCTTGTCAGTCAAATTTCTTCTCGCCTTGTTCGATTTTCACACTTTGTGGATCAGCAGTGCCGCCCCCTATCCGCAGACAAAGATCCCGTGTCCAACGCCTTATCGACGATGGATGAGTTCGACTCGCTCGATGAGGAGGACGATGATACAATGTCCCAATCCGTCCAACGCGAATCATCAGATGATGAATTCCCCAATCGCTGTACAACACCGTCGCATTCATCAAGTTCGCGTCGCAAATCCTCTAATGTGAACCAGCTCCTACTCCAACTCCCTTACCCGTTGGTTCGCGAGCGACTGGCGCAGCGTGTACGGCAACTCTCAAAAGAGTTATGGAGACGTTTGAAACAACTTTCGGTCACACCGGAGACCAGAGAAGCAGTTAGAGACTTGATTGACCTTCAGCGCTTAGGAGAATTTTCCAGAGGGGATAGCACCAATACTCCAAGTGCATCAGGTAATATTTGGCTTCTTAAGTGGATTTCTCTCGCTGAGCGTCCTTTTGCACTTAGATGTTCATTCAATACTTTAGGTACATAGTAATAGTGTTTCTGCCTACTCAAAGATTGGCTTCCATTACAATCCAGATAGGGAGCCCGGGTGCCTTCGCGATTCCGAAAACCAGTCGGTCGAAATTCCCACACTAAATTATAGGTAATGCGCTTTGCAGGTCCACGAAAATGCTTGTCGTGCCGGACTCAAGTTTACAATTGCGCGCTAATGCTCGTTAGCATCTCATTTTTATTATTCGGTCACACACCTTATACCCATGATTGACTCGATTCAAATCAGTCCTGTTAGCTAAAGCAGTCTACTTTGGACGGTCCCAAGTTTTGCATAACTATACTCGACTGTATAGCTCTACAAGAGGAGAATATCATTGCGTATGATAGTGTGTAGGGTAACATCGGTCGTATCTGTTCGAATGTGAACTGTGTCGTTACTCTTTCTGTAAATCACTGCTCACTGTGCTTGGCTGATCCTCTCCCTACTTAAAACGCTTGTTGTCATCTAACATACTGGTCCGGTGAATCGACCTGAAATTGCCGAGACAAGGAACACTTGGGTAGTTACATGTCATTTGTGCATATCAGATGTGTAAGTGTGCGTTCCACTCCCACTGCTGTGAAATCGATGAAAATAAGTCGTTGGGTTGTTTTTGTCTGCAGTCCAAATAGTGTACGTTTTCGTCGTAGAAAGTCAAAGTGTTTTCTGCTAACTATCCACCCGCCTAAAAATCACTTATAATTGCAGCCATTGATAGGCAACAATTTGACTCTTTCACCTCTTGTCTTTATGAGATGTAGTGAAACATGTTTATAAATCCGGTTAGACATACCACTATCCATCCTGCCTATTTTGTTTGACCGCGTTTTTTGAAGCCGTGGGTTTCGGACCATGTACATAATTCCTATTAATCAATATCATTTCACTCAATGGATTGAGTTTCCACATCTGATCGATATAACTTCGCATCTGAATTTGATCCTGTATGACACCTTGTTGCACTGCACACAATGCTCCTTATCGGAAAATGTTTTCGTAGCTTTACGGAATAATTTGCGTTCTAGTTGAAATGTTTTGCCATCCACGCATTCGGTTCTTAATACGGGATGCTGTACGGATGGGCTGTTTGGGGCGTCTGGCTTCTTGACAAGATAAAGCATAATTGTGCCTCGGTTATTACGGTCTAAGTTCCGCAAATCGTCAGACGAAGCTCCGTTGGTGGAGCTCCAACAAATTACGTACTGTTTGAAACAAAAATTGGAGCTTGCTGCTTTTTCAGACAGGCTCAACTAAATCAGATCACATCATTTCCCCTCATGTGTTCACTGCCGAACATTTTCTGAAGAAGTCTCAGGCGTTTCCGTTCTAACCGGGAACCTTATTCCCTTAAAAAAAACTGTCTCTCACTTAATCTAATACTACTTTTGGTTCCAGAGCAAAATGTTACGATATTTTATGCTGGCCTGTTGAAGTGGGCTCAATGAAGGAGACACTCTCCGAAATGGTTGTGCGAGTCCCCATATCAAATCGTCAAAACAGATATTATCCAAAACATGCGGTCGCTGATTTCATGGCCTATCGCTTGACCTATCCATTGTTCTGGGAATAAACTCCCGGGCATCCATCCGTATGAGAGATATTCTCTCAGTCACGTTGTATGAATGCAAGACATACAAAAGATGCGGATAGATTAGTCGGTATATGTTCTCTATATGGCTTATCAAGAACCTTATTAGCTTATTACTACAACTGACAAATTCAGTCAACCAAATCGAGGACATCCAAGCCTTTGTTGTCTGTACTTTGCGTCCTAACATCGTTTATCTGAGTTCGAAACAGACAGAGCAAGTGCTGCAAATCCTAGTCGCCTTTGGAGCTCCATACTACGTACGGTACGACCTGCATGTTGAACGTGGTTTGAATCACACCCTTGGGGGCTGTTCAAATGCATGCGTTTAAGTACCAGTCTGTTTTCAGCTGCCTATTTGGGGAACGTATTGGATGTCTTCTGGTACAAGAATGATGGGCGACGGAATCCTTCAAAAAAATAATGCGTAACGGTAGATGCTTCTACAATTATTGTCCCCGATTTAACTCTGAATCGATGAAATTGATGGACAAACGTGCGGATGGCTGTTGTGAAACATCAGTTGACCGAAGCACGATGATGAGACAAAAATCACCGGCTACTGCTAGTTTTATTTCTGGTCACTGACTGGTGTCACCCTTGAATTCCCTCATGTTTGGCCCCTTATTCCGCCACAGTGGAATAAGCCACTGTTCTTCAGGGACCATCTATTCGCCTTGTGGTCTGTCGGCGCATTCAAATGTCGATTCAAACGTGGACCAACCACAACGTTTTAGTTCCGATATCGACGTTCAGTACAAACGGCGTAGTCGGTAGCATGTTACGAATTATTTTTCGTTATCTAGATAGGCGTTTATAGTAAACTGCTAAACAGAAAAAGCTCCACTGCCCCTAGTTTGATTCAAATCCCAGACATCTACTGTGACAGAAGAACACATTTTACCATATCCCATTTCCAGGTGTAATTTAACAACTCAACACTACGTTAAGAAACTTCTAATCCCCGAGTGAATACCGCATGTAGTGTACTGAACTACTTGGTTCAACAGTCATGGGATTTTACTATCTATACTGCTGTCACCATGGCAACAGCGGGACAATAGCTATCATTTGTCACCCGGGATAGAAGTGTAGTAATCGGCTTATATGCCGTATACTGAATGTCGTTGCCCAGTACGTCGGTGCGTTCGCGTTCAGTCACACTGGTATGTGTTTCCTGCCGCCTATCATTCAATGCTCAGCGTTCCCTATCCCCGAATAGATTCCTATTGCTCAAGAATGAGGAAGGAAAGTGATCAAAATATTTCCATTCCAAGTATGGATCATTCGTATTTTGTGACTTCTGCTGCGATGGTTTTTGATGCGTAGCGCATTGTTGATATTTGTGACTATGTGAAATGCTGGTTTCCTTGTGCCGATGCCTTGAATTATGGATGCGGATCGCTAAAGAAATCTGTTGCGTTGTATAGGGCTTTTCATTTGGGCCCTACACTTGAAGCTATGGATTTATAGGAAACCAAAGTATTCACAGATTACCAAATCGAAAGAGATAATTTTTTACTCAGCAGCTAGAGAATTTTTGGCGAATAAGACCTCACTCCACAGGAGGAACTTCTTTACTGACAATATGCATGGCAGTAACTTTTATTCTTGTGACAGTAATGGCTCTTTACAACGAGTACTTCTGACTGGCCCCATCAGGTTCCTTTTTAAGCCTTTGAAGAAAACATTCCAAACTTTCTGGTTACTACCGGGAGAGCAACTTAGCACTGACGCCGCGTCTGTTTTGATCAGCTACACTGCTCCACCCGTCGTAGGATTCATTGCACGGACGCGCATATCACCGTGAGGTACATTTTTTAACGAATTGCAACCTGATGCATCTTTCGCAGTATCCATCACACTCAATGCCCACAGTTTAGTAACTGTCAGATCTTCCGCTAGTATCAAGTAGTTAGCAAGATTCGTCTTAAGGATGATCCTTTCTTCAGAGTAGACGAGGTCCGTACAAGAACGAACATCACCCAATGAAATCTTTTTTCAGAGCAGCGCTTGGAATGCACTGTAGGTGATGAAATGTTAATCAGAAGTAACAATCGAACATTGTGAAACTGGTTAATTAAAATGTTTATTGTATATGATCAAGCACGATACGTCATGGGCGCAATGTAGTACTTCTTCCTCCCGAAACTTATCACATCTCCGATCCAACTTATCGACCGCCTTTTTATGTTTCTCTTGACTACCGCTCCGAGTAGTTCATCCATGTGCACCATGAATACCCACCTAACAACTTTCCTCTTGAAGTTCGTAGACCTACCACAGAAGAATTTTCCGCTGTTGTCTCTTAATGTGGCGTGATTTTTGGAGCTCCGTAAGTAAGATATCATAGCACTCAAGTCGGTGGTTAACAAGATGCAACTGCAGACTCTGTGTGTGTGATTGAACGAAGACCTGGACTGGCCAACAGATCATGACTGACTAATATCTCTGGTTGATACCTGTGGGAGTGATCTGAAAAATATTTAATTTTTTGTGTGGGTTCTCACACTCGGTATTCTCGATTAGGTGCGTATTTGAACTGAATGAAAATACAAAGGTGAAAGAAATAGCCTGGAAGGCCGGTTGAAAAAAGCGGCTGAGTATCGTTAGCATTTAAGTGAATGTGTTCTGTCTTCGGTGTTTCGTTTTCGACTTGCCATCGAAAAAATTCACCTCAATGAGTTTGGACGCTGGGCTTCTAGTTTCCCATTCTGACGGTGGAAAGCATTTCGTAATGGGCAATCGCAGACGGGCCGTATCGTTTCACCTTGGTTTATTGTGGCTGCGTAGTTGGGGTACGCATGGTTGGCGGCCCTGGAGAGTCTTAATGTAGGATCTCAGTTGTCTCTCGTTAGCCGGATTGCCTTTACTGCCTACCGTTGTACGCTAAACCCCTAGCGTCTTCTAACTCCATGGTTGTGGCAGCAGTATTTGCTCCTGGTGCGTAGCCATGTCTGACTGTGAATATGAGGATTTCTATAGTCCTGCACTTCCGGGTTTCCTGGTAGAATAACCATTTTATCTTTAATTTTAGTTTGTTGACTACTGGAAACACTGTCTCCTTCGGACATGGCCGTTTTTATACCGGACTGGGTCAGGTTCTCTATCATAGTTTGGGAGTTCTCAGGTTCCCAGCTGGATTAAGAAATAGCAAAAGATAAACTATTGGACACCTTCAGAACAGTTAGCTCCTATCTTCGCACGACCTTATGATATTCTTCGCAAGTGGAAGAAACTTTCAATCCTCGATTAGAAATAAACTCCCCCGTAACTTTCCGGTTCTCACAAGGACTCGCACCTCTCCCCAAAATGGAATTGTCTTTGCCAGTGAGCCGGACTTCCGTATCGATTGCCTCCTTTCGTTCAACTACAACACTTTTCCGTCTCCCAGCTGCCATGCCTCCCGAAGGAAGCACACGGGCTGGGATACTGCCAGGTTTCCCAAGCATAGACAGGGGAATCCGAGAGGTAGAGGTTCGAACCACGGACCTTCCGGTCAGTGAATTCGCGCTCTATTAACTTGAACCATCTCGATTGTGGCTGAATTCACTTACACGGTCATTAGACAAGTCTTCAACATCCATAGGTTATTCTTACTCTAATTTGGACCGATCCATATTTTAGCTGGGTCTGCATATCCTCCAAGATTTGCTGGAACGGATTGAATGCAGTGGAGCTGAAAAATGGGAAAATGAGAATTGAAAAAATGTGACGTGCCATACACTGGTGTTTCTCAAGTTCCTAATAATCATAACTGTTTTTGTTGTGTTCGAGTGCGTTTTCCTCACGAACCGTCCTCGACGTCCCCCGTTACGCACTCCTTTAACGATGCTCTGTATATGTGCATAGCAGCCACAAGTGCTAAGCCACTCCTCCTTCCGCCTTACATCCACCTTTCAAATGGGTCTATTTTAACCATGTCCGCTTCTTCCATTTCGACCGGGTGAAGGGATACCGAAAATCGCGTTTATTTACTTGTCTTTTTCATCCATGGTCTGCCAAAAGACGACGATCGAGATGTTCTCATTGTTCAGTGTCAGTTCAATAAAGTCCCTCAAACACAGTATAACCTAATTGGTTGTATTTTTGTTCTACAGAAAAGCCCACAGCTTCTGCCCCATTAATGAACAATACTCGATTAGCGGATGGAAACCAACCACAAAGCGATGCGGAAAACCAGGACCCGGAGAAAATGAGCAACGAAATTAAGACATTGAAGGAATTGGTTCGTGAATACGAAGGTCGCATGCAAAAACAGGAAGTCGCCCTACGTGTGAGTTTGGCTTATTTAGACCAGTGAATTTCAGGGATTCCATTCCTCGGGATTATGGTGCGCAGTAACCTTCCGTCAACAGTCTGTCTCGTACCCTAAATCCGTAATCCCGGATTTCTGCGCTTGTTTGTGTGTGTGATGCAGGCCTAGCTGTCCGTGAGGGTGAGGCTCGTCACAGTATATGCAAACCCACACATAAAAGTGGGAAATCAGAACAATCCGGTTATTAGTAATGATAGGTCATGTCAATCAAATCATGCTGAACCATGGAGGAGACTATAATTCTCCATTGACACTAGCTTGCCAGATTATTCTCGGAGTTAACGAGTCGATAGCAAACAGGTTGAGTAGCCTTCGACAAATAAACCCTTTGGCATATCAATTTGGGACTGCGCCTACCTGATAAGCCCCAAGTAGGGCGAAACTGCTCGTGGGCTGTCGAAGATTTTTCAGCAACCTTGTGACTAAGCTGAGTAGCCCTTTTATCAGAATCGACCATTCTATCAAGATTGAGGCATGAAGAGATCGTTGCCTTTAGACAACTTTTCATACTCTCTGCCCACTGAAAAGGAATATTATAAGTGTGCCACAATGGGTCTCAGAAACATCTAGTTTTTTGCCTAATTTAGTCTTGACAGCAACTGGTTACCTTTTGGCAGTTCCAAACTTCTGCCTTTGTGTTGGCTTTTCTATCCGTTTTTATCGATGATCTCGCGAGCCTCAGTTGCCGTGCGTATTCACTGGTAAATTGCATGGCCATATAGGTAGGCTTCTTTGCCTGCGTTCATCATACATGTTCGACAGTGTTCTTCATCATTCTCGCTTCAGCATGGTCCTGCGTGCCTTGTGTTTTATCGTGTCGTTAGCTAGGTGAATCACACCTATTTGGCTTGTAGTGAATTAAACTAACTGCTCTCATTATAATGTGACTTAGCTTTATTTTGATCTGCTCATTCTTCCGGGTTTTCATTCATTTCTCAGTGATTTAATGAGCCGGCCTGCCTGGTCTTCCGTAACGACTGTTCAAAACGAGAGTGATGTGAGACTGAACAATATTTATTTTTCTTTATTTGTTTTCGTCATTATAATACACTACACTAAGATATGGAAGAATAATCACAAGTGAACTCATGTGTCTTGCCTTCCTCCATGCATTCTTTGAAAAGCACGCCCTGTTCACCAACATGCGACGATGGAACAGCTGCGCCCGAGACACCTGGGGTTGTCCCACCGATGAGAATTCTGCAGAACTCGGAAGCACACCGACACATTCGCTTCATGAGAGCCATACTAAAGTGGCTCCGTTGCATTTACAACTTGGTAGCCCTTGGCAAAGCACCAAAACAGACGGGTCACAGCTACCAAAAGATGGGGCAGGTGATTGTATAAACGAATTGGACGTCCCAGTTTCAAACCAGCCGAAAGTCAAATGTGATGCACGCGACTGTCATGGTGATCTTAAGGTTGGTCCGAATATCCGCAGGATCGCCGCAAACCACTCCTCGATTAGCGATTGTTTCCGAATCCTAACGGTCTGATACATTATGATTTTGTTATCGCACTATCAGTATACCCAGTAAATATGGAAAGTTCCCCAGACCTTCATCAAGAACGTATTCACTCGAACGAAGGCTGTCATTCTCGTGATTTACGATGACGCACACTGATTCCTTGGGGCGATCGTAATGGGCTCCAAGGATTCCTCTTATAGGTTGGCATTGATCAGGAACCGATAGTTGATGCCTATTCTAGTTCGGGTGTGTAGTAGTGTTCTTCGTATAATTTTGTGTTGCCAAGTGTGGTTTTCGGTTGTTCTCTGCGAAGATATCTGTAGTAAATTCGAGTCTCGTAACCATTTTTTGGAGACGCAGTTATGTGAATGCTAAAATGATAATAGGTGATCATAGTTGAAATCTGTTCATCAACTGTATGTGTGTGTCGGAGCTCTAACCATATCCTGAGTAGCTTATTTATTTGGGATATGAACAATACGGTGTGGGCATTATTATTAGTTTTTTCTCTAGTAACCGTTCGGGAGTTGTAATGAACCACTGTTAATAGAATCACACCAACTCCATACGTACCAGAAATCAATACGTTTCAAGGTTTTGACCGCCGCTTAAAGTCTTTTGAACCTTCACTGGGCATAAGCAGTGGTCATCGAGTAACTAAGACCAAACTTTTGCTTTCTCAAAGATACTTTGTACATGGTACTTCTTAAGTAGAACTAGCGAATAGACTTTGCACGTTTCCTCTAGTCTCTTTCATACCTGCCATCCCTAGTTGTAGTTCCTTGTTCTCTCATTCACATTCGTTGGTCACGTATTCTTTTCGGCTTGAGAACCAGCACCAAACGCTTTTAACCCTCACCGCGGTTCCTCCAAATTCTTTACTTTCCGTTTTAATACTCCTGACCTTCAGTCCCCGATTGTTTGATTCATCTCAGATATGTGTACCCAAAATGTATCCGTACATAGTGTGATGACAATATAACCAAGTGGGATTTCACAAATATGTACGAGTTCTATTAATCCAACAAAGTGGTCGCTTTTGCGTTTTTCAACAGGGATGAACATTCTGTGGTTTTGTTTACCCCTGAACTAGGTTGACTTCATTTTTTCTTGGTGGAACTTTATTAGGAGTGTGCGTACTATGATCTTTAATCGAATCGAGGAGTTGTTCTATCTAGCTGCACTCTGGACGAAACGTAGTTTATCTCCCAAAGGTGCGAAAATGTTCGTTTCCAATATACGCCGCAAGTTTTTACCTTAAGTTGACAGGTACGTTATTCATTTAACGTGACTAGAGTACTCCCAGGTTATCACCAATTCAACTGTTGTTTAATCTTCCAATTTCTCTATTCCAGTCTCATGACCTCCCAGTTTCCATTCAACGAGACTTCCGGCGTAAGACATCAGACTGGAACCCCAACACAACAGGTTAGTCGTTACTTCATTTAGTTGATTTTGACATTAATCGCTTCCGAGGCCAGATTGTCTGAAGTTACCATTGTGGGTCCTAATTGTTGTTTTATGGTTGCTCTGCGTAGCTAGCTCACAACTACCATACATACAACATGGTTTCGGGACAGTTGTTCAGTGGTGTATACAGTTGTGTTGAGTTCGAACATAAGGCAAGTAGTAAGTAAAAGGCTAGGTCGCCCCGACGTAACGACGGAATGACGTAGTTTTACGGATAATAGGAAACACGGGCAATACCCTGATGAGATTCTCATTCAAGTTTGTCTTGACTTATTTTCGCAACTCTTTTGCTGGTCTTTTGGTGTGTGTTCCACTCATTATAGTATATCAACAGACACAGTAGCTGGAGAGAGCGAGTCTCGGAGACAAAGGAAGATTACTGCAGCTGCGTTTGTTAAACCGTCACGGAGTTTTCCAAAAAGCCCACCTAGGACCGTCGTGAGGGAGTGAGGGGTGCCAAGCTAAAACTAGTACATTCTGATTCTCCCATACTTTGACCCATCAGGGTATGCCTTTTGGTCTGTAGTCGGTTCGCGATACATTCGTTCAATCGACGTAGTGTTCGGTCATTTAGCTTGACCTGCCTCCAGACAGTATCCTAAGGTAACCTGAGGAGTTGATACCTGAATAATATGCATATCCGGGAATGAGGTGACGGATGTTGCTAAGTGGAAAGATAAAATGGCAATAAATAGGATGAAAAAAAACGGAAGAACTTGTGCTGCCTCAGTGTCCACGATGATCTGGTATGTCGAAGCTATGCGCCAGTTTGTGCTGCATATCCTAGTGGACATACTACATACGTTTAGATGTGACTGGGAGAACAAGATATTTCACTGTCGCCAGCATCCTCGCAACCAACGTCCCCTCAATCTGTTAATGACACATCTGATCCACTTCGGCTGGCAGCTCTCTAGGTTACGTTTCCTGTGAACGAACACCCCTTCGTACTGGATGGTTCTTACCGATTCGGGTGATTTTCTTTCCAAGCTGAGGCATATCAATGGACATTTCAAGATAACACAGTGTTAAGTGGTTTCGATAACCGCACAGCACCTTAGATTTCGTGCCAGAATTTGAAGGTCACTTGTGGCATCCTAACTTAACATCGATACAACTTCAAACTCCCTTTACAGACGTCAACTAATTCTTTTCGAGTGGTATTAGGAATTTCATCCGGAGTGACATTTCTTCCCGTCAGAAATACCAAGGCGTCATAACTGAAAAGGCACGGCGTCAAAATCAGGAAAGGTCCGACCCCCGTCAAAACTTGCGCGGTTCGGGTACTGTAAGAGAAACCCCGTTTTACGTATAACCGCTTCCCTCCATGTCTTCCGTTATGTCTCTACTAGGCTAGTTTGAGAGCCTCTTGTCTTACTGAAACCGGGGATTTATGGAATGATGCATTCCTTGTCAAACCAGTCTTTGATAGCTGCTTAATAGTTTAGAAAACTTCGTTATTTAAAAGCCTTGCATATATGCATATATGCTTGCAGAAAAGGATACTCTAGGTATGTGGTCTCAGGTTTCTGCAATGTTGCTCATGAGTTCCACATTGTGCTTGCTACACGGAACATTCATATTTACTAAGCCTTTGGTCATTTGATGAAAGTGATGCTCGAGGGATAAAGACCACTCGCCTGAGCACTAGCGCATTCATAGGATGAACCTTTGCAATGGCCGTCACTTTCTGTCACTTAGTTCAGTAAGAAAAGATAATGATCGTGTTACCTAGTCATGCCCAAGTAAATCTTATGCCAGAGGTGTAATTTAATATCATTCTCCCTCCCTCTGTCTCTACAACAGTCAATTTCCTCGAGAATATTTCTTCAGAAGGGGACAACCGTGTTTCAAAAGTGATGTTATCACACTTAGTCACATTATATACCTCCATTAACCACAATCCGTACTGCAACTGAACATTATACTGTGATCATGTTAAGTTCACTCGAGAATAACCCAGTGGTGTATCAGGCAGCTGCGCCAGTGAAAGGTCGTTTTAGGCGCATTTAAGCTAGCAAATCGGATAACTTAGTGATAAAAGTTCTTCTCAGGATACTGGTTTCTCAGTGTTGGCTAACTGAATCGTTTTGGAGACCATTTTCATGGTAGGATCTGAAAAGATTGCAATCACTAGGTGAAGTGTTCCATCTTGGGGGGGGGGGGGGAATTGTTCCTGTTAATGCTCTACTAGAACCCGAAAACTAGTTGTATGAACGAGAAAACGTAGAGCACTAACAATGTCTGATTGTATATGTACAAACATGCATGTATATATGCAAACAAGGGACTTATCGTTTTGTAGGTACAGTTTGATAAATCCTGTTGTAAGTCCGGATGCAGGTTTCGTGTCTTCTTCGCTGTTGTAACAGCCACATGTAGTCCTGGATACCCGTGAGTGAAGCGCCGTAAAGTCCTGAGCGGCTCTGCTCCGAGCTCTGTTGAGTTGTGTTGCTGTGCTGTTATATGTAGGAACGTTTGCGTGTGTTCGGGTGTCAGCACATGACTTGTTGCTACCTTATCGGACGGTAGACAGTCGATGTCAGATGTGTCACTCTTGTGTGTCGTGATCTGTACGGGTAGGGAAATAAAGCGAGTCTTGGGATCGAGGGCTTGACTGTGAGCTGTATAGTCAAGTTGGTCACGATCCTGTGGTGTGATTTGTAAGTGTAAGAAAAAAGACAGATCTCGTGATCTAGCGAGTGTCGGTAACCTGTACAGTCATGTATGTGGCGAAAGGGTAGCTACATTCTCTCGCCGACTAGTACGTCGAACGCGCACGTATATCTTGTTTCAATTAGGCCTTAGCATATATTACGTACGACCTCCGTCATGATCCTCAGCTGCCTGTCGTGTGTGGGCGGCCTTCATTAAAAGGGGTGTCTGCACTTAATAAGCTGTGGTCTGTGTCTAGCTTTAGTGGTTCATAGTTCATTTGTCGCCTTGACTGCCATGTTATGTCCCCGTCTAATTTACTGGAAGTTTGTCCGCTCTCTAGCCATGGACTTAGTTCACACTTCTTTAGGTTAGTACGAGCACGCCTAGTAGTTTATCTGAAGAACGCAACCATGACATGACTTAATAAATGTTCCGAGTACTGTCAATTGTTACGTCCGGCTGTCATTCCTTGTTCAAATCTTTACGGATGTCTACTCTGCGAAGTTCGCAAACGTGACCAGATGTGTCTAAGTCTTACGTAACTAATACGAAATCCCAAAGATGGATACCTTCGGCTTTTCGTCACCATTTTGCATTCCTTGCATTCCCCTAAAACGCTTCAGGGGTAGAATGGTACCAAGTTCTTCTTGGGTAGAAAACTCTTCAGATGAGAGTGCTAGCTGGTGGTGAACGCTTTTGTGAGCCCCAAGCGAGTGACTTTTCTTCGGAGAGGTACATCTAGAGATTTCTATAAATATTTCTCTCCCAGTGTTTTAACGTAGCCGTAAACTGTCAGTAAGCAACCCGGAAGTTTCTTTAAGTAGGTTGCAGTAAAAAGTACTGAGTCTGCTAAGCACAGTAACACTTAGATACTGACTAGAGCCCTTGCTTATAATCATTTGTACTGTACGACAAACCCGCGCTTCTGCGTGTCTCTTTCGTTTTGGTTATTTCATCTGTTTATTACGCCCTTCACTCAATCATGCGAGCAGGTGTACTCTCCTAGCTTTGAACAGAAGTAAGCACCAATGTTTAGATGTCTGTTGCTATGGTGGTTAATCTTTCGTTTGTTACTAGTGTGGTGGTCATGAGCTTTATGTTGTTTCTATTTTGATTAAGTTCCGGTTGCATGCCCCCACGCCCTAACTCACTCACCCCTTGAATTTTGTTACTGTCATAGCAACTTTCACGATGGTCCTTCTCCACTGACTGACATTGCCAACTGGGTGTATTCAGCCTCCCTTTTACCAACCTCATACGATACGCAATGTCTGTACCACTTCCACTTCGTCTGGCGTTTGTCTATTGCTATTGGCAGCGCGTCAGCAGTGTAGTATTTCTCAAGGCAATTTACCTGCCAAGCAACCAGGTGTGGTTGTATGTTTAGTTTCACACACCGCTTTGCTCAGATCTTGTTTGGTTCGAACAATATGGTGTTGGTACATCCGAAAGGACGGAATTTGACGGGCATTGGCATGTTCTACGCCCAGTTCCACTTTGGTTGACGTTTTTTCACGGTAGAGCCTCGCCTGCACAATTGTTTGTGGATAACTTACCGAGGGTACGCTTTAATTCAAGTGTAGAACGTCGTAGCAAAAACGACATGTATTCAAAACATGTGAGAAATTATTCTGGACGAAGGCTAGGAAATAGTTCGAGTAGCTGCGTGTCAAGTCTGTCATTTAATACCGCAGAATGTCGTGAAACGATTGTGGTCTTCACCTTTTAACGAGTCCCACCCAAATCGAAATTTTCACAGGCCGGACGTATTCTTATTAACTATAATGTATTCTCCCATAACTATTCGCTATCGGTCGGCGATCGTGGTACTTTATAAGTACTTGTGTGTTTCTTACCTTTCCGACCACCTTCGATTCGATTTATCAGCTATAAACCGTACATTATAGGCACATTGGTTCCAACCACTACACTTTCGATTACCCGAAAGTGGGGGAATGTGGGACAAACAGCTTGGGAGACAATGGAATGTCTAATTAGCTCGCGAACTAGCAAGCTACGCATTGAAGGTCGTAGCTTTGATGCACGCGCTACTGACTCACGAATGGGCCATTACTGACAGCGTCATTAAACATTGGTGACCTGAGTCCCGGAGGACCCATCCAGGGTGACGGCAATTATCAGCCCAACTCAGATTATTGGTTAGTGATTTAATCCTTCGTTGCTAGGTCAGGAACTGTCCACCTATCAGGCTGGGTGAAAAGAGCTCTGTGCGGTGGAGTACATGTCCTAACCAGGGTAACTTATGGAGCGCGGAAGCAAAAGCTGCCCGGGCTTTCCCGATCCGAAGAATAATCTCGTCTCCAGCCACTCCACCGGAACTCCTACAACTGTTTAGATAAGCAAATTTATCTACCACTTCGATTGGCTGGTCTGCAGGCACGAGGTTTGGGTTTCGTCCCACCCAGCCTTGTAGCAGCACTTTACACCTTGCAGGTGTGAAGCGCGCACCAAACCGGGCGGCAGAACTATTTAGACTATTCAAAATGGTTTGCTTTTTTTTTAGATATCTGAACCAAGGAGATTAGTATCTTTCGTATACTCAGTGTCTGTGGTCGGGTTTCCTCGGAACACTGCGGCCCCTGAGGTTTCAGAGGTAGGCAGAGAAATCTCAGGCAGCACATTAATAACAAATTTGAAGAACGCAAAAGAGGACAATTTTGTCTTACACAAATAGGCGAGACGAACGCAGGCGAAAGCTTCCCCCATACTTGTACGCATTCACAGTAGCTCACATACGAAGCTATCATAAGGGATACAAATTAGCAAGGACCACTTCTGATCGCCAGATGCCGCCAAAGATCCTGGTGATCAACAGACTCAAAAGCAGATTTCTGATCGAGACCGACGACAAATTTGGGTCGTCCAAACAGTGGCGCTATTTAAGAATTTGTCTGGGCGATGTATCCTCGACCATGGTGTTCCATTCACTACACAAGCGATCTTCGTCGCCCTCATGACTGCATTTCCAGTAGCTTTCTAGGCAGATCAGCTCGATACTGTTGATCCACTGAAACTTGTCGAAGTTGGTGAATGGACTTGCTCTTCTGTGGTGGAAAAGCAACGGAGGGTCGCCCATTGGTGTGATGAAAGTCAGTTTGCTCATCCCAGGACGATCGAGAATCTTTAATTGGGGCTCCAACACCGTGGATACCATGTGTCGTTACCTGGAACGAGATGGTTCAGTGGTTAGAGTGCGAATTTGGTGACTGGAAAGTCTGTGGTTCAAAGCCGGCATCTGCATCTCGACTTCTGTCTAGGTTTGGGCAACCTAGCAATATCCGAGCCGTCGTGCTTCCTCCGGTTGGCACAGCAGGTAGTCACCGAAAGGGTGTTCCATCTAAACGATTTATTTTATTCTTTACGTGCCATTGCTTCAGAGCCACCAGATATTCAGAGAGTGAAATGTGGAACCTCTGAGCTCGTCCTAGGCTTAAAATGCACCACTGAAATGGGGTCTTGTAAGTGTGCATCGGAGACAGTCACACGCGCTCACTAGTCACTCGATGAATTTCGGTTGGAATATCCGTTTTGTTTCCACCTGACTTACGCTACTGGGTTACTATTACCGCGGCTGGTAGCACGTACTGCTCATTTGCTTCCAGTTTTCGTTTGAAGATACTGTCGCCGTCCTGTTCCAAAACGACAACAGGAAACACTTAACAGATTTCCTTAGAGCGAAACGTGGTCCCCTTCGTCACTTGTTTCACAGGTCGGCTACCAGTTTACATTAAAAAAATCCGTCAACACTATTCCCCAGATCCCTCAGCCGGTCCGCCAGGTGGGTGGCAGCCCCCTTCACGTGCTCTAACTGTTGCCGTTTTTTTTAGCCTTCAAGAATTTCGTCGGTACCAACCATATGGCAGACGTGGGCGCAAGCGTGTGGTATAGGGTTGGGGTTGAAAGCTACCGGATTTGGTTTTTTGAATGATCTGCATGTGAATTATTCCACCTTACACAAAACCGAGAATAGATGTTGATGCAACAAGCAGTTTGCCAGAAGTTGATAATCATCGCTGTTGGTTGGTTCGTTAATCTGGAAGCTATATTGCGAGGTTACTAATGACAGACTCGTTCTCCACTGGCAAGCTAGAAAAACAGTACAACGACTTTGTCTCGGTAAGTTGATTTGCAACTGGGTGTTAATAATAGATTTTTACTGCATCTTCACAACAATTGGCCTAGTCTGATTTTTTATAAAGTTCCCATAGATCTCTTTGTGAGATAGGTTTTACTTCGGCTTCTTTCACATGCTTCTGTGCTAACTTTGGGTTGACCATATATGTTAGGAATCGCACCAGCGTCATCCACTTCTCCGCTTCTGCTTATTCTTCAGATACTGTCTGCTTGGCGCCGGCTCACGCCACCTTCACCAGTTCTCCGTTTCCGAATCGGGCTCGAGCGCTGTCCTTAGACGGGATCCATTGATCCGATTTTTTCTTTGCAGACCATTCGCATCGGCTTTCTCAAATAATTATTTGCACTTCGCTTCAGGTGAATGAATTTGCTCAACTCCCCGCACATCATTGTCTTTCATCGTATGCTGACACCCCAAGCAATTTGTTCTATATACATTTATTCTGTATATATATCAAAATTTGAAAAACCTCGAAACATTGTTTAAGACTGTTTTCAGTCTCTATGATCTTCAGCATCATTTAGAGAGCACAGACGTGAGTCAGCTGATTCATGTTTGCGGCTACTTTTGCTTCAAATGGTCCCGTGATAAACACTAAGTGGAGAAGTGATCACTTAACACTCAGCCTACTGATGTGGTTTTACAACCGAATCTCGACAACGCGACTTAACCTCCCTTACAAGTCGCTCATAGTTATTGTCTTGGATCGATATTTAATTTGATCTTTTCGATCCCGTAGTAGCTCAGCTGATATGACGCAGATCAGATAAGCGGCGTCGTCGCATTCTATTTGGGCTCGTACGTATGAGATGTTTAGAGTAATTTTTATTCGATTACATGAGTTCCACAAAGTGAGATTCGAACCGAGGCGATTTCGTTGCGAGTCAATGTGATGGACAACGCTTGGTTCCCAGCTCTCTGAGCATTCGCACGATCATTTGAGTGTTTGACTTGGAATTTGGATGATTTCGCCCTGTAGGTGAAGCTAGTCTATACGGAGAAGCACTGTGCAACTTATTGGGAATCTCCATCAGTACCCATTCCTGGGGACGGCTAATAATATTTATCCTCAGGTAATTATGTCAAATTTTTTATGTCGGGATTCGTTCCAAGTCAAAAAAATCATGTGATTACCTGCGAACGGCGATTAGTTGCACGTGGGCAGAGCTCGAAGGCAACTGTCTATCCATCTAAATGGGTAGAAAGTGTTCATCGACGAGTCGACTTTTCTGCTTGGGGTGATGTATTTAGGTAAACGATAGTCTTTTGCAGGGATAAAGGAGCATCAAATGCTTGAATGATTGAAAATGCCACCAAAATGTGAATAGGCCTAGTATCAATATACTAGCTGTGCATCACAATGCAGTCGGTCTTGTCTCATTTCGTCTGTTTCATTTGGTCTAGTAGTAGTGCGTGCAATGTTGTGCTTGAGGATTGCTATGTAGTCTGTGTGCGTGTTAGTCAGAATCGGAAAGCCACAAGCGTGTTGCTTGATGATGAAGACATACAGGGTTGCTTTGCTTAAGAAAGCAAATGAGACAAAAACTGCCAGACAGTAGGATTATATCTTTTTTCCATGCAGCCGTTCTGAAGTTTACTCTTCCGCTTCCCAGTCTTAAGAAAAGGCTTTTCAGGGCACCTTATCTTAAAGTTTTAATTACAATCTGTGAGATTTTGTTCTACTAAGTTACGTGGCTCTTGGTCCAATCATATAATTTGCGAACTAGTGCATGGTAGGGCTTCATAAAGAGGATCTCACTCACCAGCTGTTGACCCGGTTGTATGACCACATGACTGTATGTGACTGATCTGTCCTTAGAATGCAAGGAGTTAACCAAACAGCTAGATGTATGAGGGACACACTTGGAACCATATTGCGTTCTGGGTGTTATATCTGCTGTCATTCAGAGCCAGCAGGATTTCCAAAACGGACGTTGTATAACCCTTTGGTTGAGGAGCATGCCGGCTGGTGATCATTAATTATTACGCCGTAAAGGAGGGTATGAACAACAAATAAATCCACCTATTGTTACAAAACCATACTAAGAGCCTACTTGTAAGTAGTTTGGAGAATAGTCCATATTTCCACTCTGGGGCAACATCCATGGAAATCCAGTCGCTGCAAGGATCTAACGGGATGTAAATAGAAAAAAACTATGCTTCTTGGGAAAACTTTGGCACAATTATGATGGAGGAACATCGGTGAATATCTTCTAAAGGTGGAGCGTTTGAAAATCGACAGTGAAGAACGGACCTCGGCCTCTATCTGGTACCATTCGATACACAGTCTAGGCGCGCTGAGCTGGACACAGATAATAAGTCCATTTTAGGATTGACGGCTAACTTGGCGCCATTAAACTGAAGAACTGTGTCATGGAGTCCAAATGTCTATATGCCATTCGAACGAGATGTCTGTGGTAGTCAGAACAACCCACAGATTTTTAACTTGAATTAGGAGGTACACGTCCATCTTGGATAAAGAAGAATGCCTCGACCGTTTGACCGAGTACTTCGAACAACAATTAGCGTTGCCGCTCATCTGGAGCTTACAGCTAACAGTGAACGTGATACTCCCTACGGTCTTCGATGTTTGTATGACAGCCCGAACGAGCTTCTGGTCCGGGTGACCTCCCACTCGCATTGTTCAAAGGTGCAGGTAAAATTCTCAGTCAGCGCTTGTTTGATCTGATTGCCTGCATTTGGGAAAAGGAGACTGCCCAAGACAACTGAGAGTAGTGTCTATTTTCATAAAAAGTTCTCGTAATGAATGTGGCAACCACATGGTGACCAGCTTACCCAAGGTTGCAACGAGACTTGGCGTCAATTGTGCTTCGTCGCCTTACGGTGGCTCGTGAAACTCTGACTCGAGGGAAATAAGCGGGATTCTGGCGTTGTGGGGGTTGCTTTAACCAAATCTTTACACTTGTCAGGTGCTAGAACAATGGCATACAAACGATCCACAATTTTAGTATTCCTCGTTTTCCAAGGCGCATTCGACTCGGTTGACTGGTTTGTTCTCGTTGACACACCTGCCCGTCGAGGAATGTCTCGGAAGTTTTTGAACAATAATTTCTTCGTATTTTCGGACTTCTGGACGTGTGACAGTATACGGAGAGCTCAAAAGATTCCCTGGTTTCCGTCAGGGATGATCACTTTCTCTATTGTCACTTACTTCGTGATCGTGTTCAACTAGCCTCTGATGAAAATCTTGCCGACCTGGAGAAGGCGCACGTGGTTTTAGATGAAATGATCGGTCATCCAGTCCTTTGGTATGCAGCTTGCACTCACAAAGTGTAAGGTCATGCTCGTGAACTTACAGTCACCGAGCATGCCACTCACAGTCCAGGAAAAGGTACTCGGAGTTACGGAGCATTTTACGTATCTTGGAAGTTGTATTAGTTCTGATTGCAACGTGACAGGTGAGGTGAATTCACGAATCTGCATGTCTGGCGACGCGTTTGCTGATTTGAGACACCTATGGTATCAAGGCTGTATATCCCTGAATCTCAAGAGGCGTGTGTATCAGGCTACAGTGTGGGCTGTTTTGTTGTCTGGCTGAGATTTGGCCTGTTCGATCAGCGGAGGTGGTTTGGTGTCGGAGAATCCGCAACGAGGCTATTAGAAAGCGCATTTTCGGTTGTTTAACAGGAGCTTTCATTGAAGAATGTGTCCAGCACCAGAAGCCATGCATTCCGTTTGCTGAAGAGAGCGCTAGTTTCAGTGCTAAGTTCAGAGTGGTGGCAGTAGAGAAGTAGGCAATCTTTGCTCTGGCAGATGGGTATGAAAGAGATTGTTTGTGTATTTGGGTGCTGTTGGTGCTACTCGTCTTCCAGGATGGAGAACGCATGATCCCCACTGCGCCTAGTTGGAAACGCTGGAAGAAATGGCTGCAAATCGAGTTCAATGGAGTCGTTGCTATCAGTTTGTATGCACGTTGCCTGAATGAGTGTCTTGAGGTGTGGACACCTGGGAATGTTTGTATAAGCAATTACTAAGTCCTTTCCCGGCTTACTTTTATTTCTTTGCAGTAAATTTTCAGATAGATCATGTTTATGGGGCAGCGAATCAACAGTGGTATCATTTTGTTGATGATAATAGCTACTAACGGAAATTTGTCAGTTTCTATGAAAAAATGTGCCCATTTTTGTGTAATGGCCGCTCGTTTTCTACCGCACATGTGGACAAACAGCATGGAGTATTTGGAAGTTTCAAATGGTGTGAGTGTTTCTGAATTGGTTCGGCTCGCCCTGCCAAGCTAGCTAATTTGAGGAACTTTGAAAAATAGAGATCCAACATTCTAGGAAAGGATGTCTTCAACGGACCGGTCAAAACCTTATATAAGACAAGAATTTTTAGGGTGGGGAAATTACGAGTAGAAAAATAACTTTCGTGAAAGACCTAATGCTAAGTCTTCTAATGTGGAAGAAAAGGCCCCTCCGTTTCTATTTCTCGTCGGATATTTACCTAAGATACCAAATTAACAAGATCACCGCGGATTTAGAATAGGCAAATATAGATCTAAGTAAATTGACCTGGTACAGAAGCCTAACTAGCTTTTAGTAACTAAGACTTTCTGGTTTTGAAAATCACTATTTGGACGTACCATCACCTACAAGCAGTATTGAGCTGCGATGCACACGGTGATAATCGATCTAACAGGTATGGCCGACAGTGTTGTGGTTGCAATACGGGTCCATTAACAGCTCTCAGCGTGTGGTTTAGATGAAGTCCTCGTACAGCCTCCATGATATTGCCACCACGGCCATCATCACCACCAAAACAGTCCAATAAACACGCATATTACTATAGACACAGTGCCGATAAGGTCACTCGTGTACCTAGTTCAAGCTAATATGATAGATTGTGAGGTGTTGTCAGATGTTGCAGATGATTTGAAAGAGGAGTCAAGTGTATCTTACAGGCTTTTTCGATTTCCTATGATCATCATCTACACCTGGTTTGCAACCAGGCCGATCGACTAGTTAGTTTTAAAGGCCTAAGTAGGAAAAGTGAGGTGTTAGTTCAGTTATTTCAACACAAGAGCAATTCGGCTTTCATACCTTACTATCTGTCCCTGATGAAGTAAGCGTTCACACACACACTTCAGCCTCAGGGCCTGACCCACAAGGTAGTTGAGAGTAAGAGAGTGAGGCACGGAAGCATAATTTCTAATGCTTCCTAATATGGCTGCTTTTTACTAGCACCCGGATTTCTAGTTTTCACAAGCAGTTCGAACGTGGTAGCGGTCACAGGTAATCATTAGGCAATCGTGCTGTGTGGCTTATAGGGCTGCTCTCAGAAAATTCGGTATCACTGCTTCTAAAGATATGGGTACGCCGACCCTTCCGCTGTTCCAATACCCCTGTCGCGGAGGACGTTACGACTTTATGTCACCCCCAAAATCAACTCGTAGCGCAATTTCCAGCAGTGTAGGCTATTCCTTGTAAACCTTCCAGATATGATCGGATCT